TACACAATGAAATGACAGATATCTCTTTTGGAAATTCTCAACTGCCCAATTATTTGATAGTAATAGTTATCATCTTTTTTTAAAGATATTTCTCCACATTCATTTAATCTTAAGAATTTTATCTAAATTAAAAATATTATTTATAGAACATAGAAGTACGAGTACCTAGGTCGTATATGGACATAGGTGCAATTTCAATTTTCGACTTGGAGGGGCTATACATATTTATTAGAAACAGACTCGTGGGGGAGGGCTCTGTCATCTCTTAAAATACATTTTTTAAAGGGGCTAATACCCTCCAAGCCCCCCCCCCCAAATTACACCTATGTAGTTATAAGAAATCATAAGTATAAAAAAAGTATAATTTTAAAATAAATTGCTGTAGTAACTAATATATAAAAATATATTCTATATTTCTTTATGTATTACCTTTTTATCTTTGATAGCCTCTTCAACTGTAGGATAGTCTTTGGCCGAATACGGACATTTCACTTCAATTATGCTATCATTCCCAATAAGCCCATCTAAAATTAAAATGCCATAAAGGATAGAGGATTAATTTTTTTTTTTTATAGGAATATAATGATAAAAACTGGGAACTAGCTCTGGTGTACAGTAGGGGTGGGGTGGACCCAAACTATAATATACATTCATTTTGCTACCCGAAACCACCCCTAATTGTTGAGGTTGAAGCACTAATTCTGATCCAAATTTTGTCCTCAGACACAAAAAAAAAACACACATAATTTTAAAATCAATATACACATCACTCAGTTCAGAATCTAAAATATTTTAAAATATTATGCAAAATCTTGTATATATGTCTTAATTTCAGAAAAAACTCGTAGTTAGGTCTGTGTAAGAATTAGTGTAGTACTGTCAGACCATCGAGCAAAACCTCTGTTAATTTCTTAAGTCTAATAAGCATTCTGTACAACTAAATTTCATCAATTGATTGTATTTTGTCAAACGCTTTCGAGTGATTGCTTTCAGCTTTTTCAATTTTTCATATATACTTTAAATTGTATTTTATTCGAGAATCAACATTCAGCACAGAAGCTTACAAAAGTGATATTTTGAAAAAGGTAGGTAAGAAATATATATATATTGTTTTTATGGAGCTTTATTTAACCTTTCAATTTGTAAATTAAATATTTTAAATATTTAATTAGATAAGCTGTTGCCTGCTGTTTTTTTTCAACATGGATTTTTGGACAATGATCTGCTATTATATGATACCGCTACTTCTCAACTGTTCAAATTCTACTGGGGAAACTTCAATTAAAAGTGAAGATGACGAGCTTTACAAATTGATATCTACAAATGACAGTCCGGGTTTACAATATGAAGTTGTTGGTAAAGCTAAAGTATTTAAAAGCAGTTGGACTATTAATACGTATTTTGATTTAAAGTATTTACATAATAGTTTAGAAATTAATAAGTCTATGTTAAAATCAATTAAAATGTATGTTAATATCAGTAATATATCGAAACTATCGAT